TTGTGGAATCACTAACCCCGGATATATAAAAATGATGAATCTCTTTCTAAACTACATGATTAAACTCATACAACTGGTTGCACTTGCTTTTGGTAAATCTATTTAGGCCCAGCGTGACTCTAGAGTCATCCATCTTCTTCTCTCCGACAGCTCCAGACCGGCGCCAGGAAAACCGGTTTCAAATTCAAATCAAATGTTTCAATGTTATATCAAGAATCAACAAAACAACACAGAGCGTAGCTGGGGTTTCATATGGAAAGGACAGACCACAGTAGCCAACAAATGGGCAATGGGCTAATGCTCCAGAAAGGTAAAGGTGTTTATGTGCAATATTGAATAATATTGGTAGTTGTGGGACTATTCTGTACTGTTGTTGTGTCGTTGGACAAGACACTTTCATTACTCACATCTAGGTGTTTTATTGCTACAAAACAACTTGAAAAACATGCACTATTATCACTGAGTTGCGTCGCCTCTCCAGAGATCTGACCTGCAACTTGGATTCTAACTCTGCCATCTGCTTGTCTCGACAACCACGGAGATCGATTCAATGCCATACTGTGAAACATTCTGGGCAAAGCAATAACATCTCCATGGATACAAGCAGATTCAGACATTTTTAAAAGTTTATATTGATATACACTTCTATAAAGCACTGATTTTACTAAACAAACCAGTACAAAAAAAAAAAAATAAAAATCTCTATTGTTTTCTGGTCAAGACGTTAATATAAAAATCCTATTAAAATGACAAGCACAGACCCCCGAGCAATGCCTACTTCTAAACCCCATTTCAACCCAGTTTTAAAGCTTCATTAGCACAAGATAACGACTTTATCTGGGGAATGCGGCTCTGCATAAACAACAGACAAACAGAGCAGCAGAGTCGTAGAGGGACATCCAGCGGAGCAGAGGTTGCCAGACACCGCGTTGACAATCTCCAGGCGCAGTTCTGGTTCGTACTTAATTCATTTAGAGTGTACCACAGGCCTATATGCATGTGAGGAGGCTGTGTGCGTGGCCCTATGTTATGTTTGCAAGCTGGATCGCCATTGGCCAGTGGGGCTACGGCACGGCGTCTCTGGACCAAGAAACGAAAGGTTAACTGAATTTGGTCACGACATAATTTATGCATCCTGAGTACATTTGTGTGGATGTGTGTGTTGTGGATGTGTGTGTGTTAGGCATTGTACTGGAGGGTAAAACAGGGCTTGTGTTGCTGCATGTTATAAGCTTGAATGAGGCCATAAGGAAATCCGTCAAATGCTAATGTTAGTAAATATAGACTGTAATATGAGCAAAGCACCCCAGTGAATGAAGCATAGGAAATGGCTAGTTAAAATCTTGGTTATGTTCTCCTGATATCATAACATTATATCGAGCATATGGTTTAGAACTGAGGTGGAAGGCAGGCAAAAATATGAGCTATTTGCCAATAATCTGTCATATTGCAGATGTTTTTACAGGGTCGCTATCAAGGCACTAAATAAATATAGATAATTGTGAAAACAGTCATTGGCAAATAAAGATGATGTTGACTTGTAGGTATTAATTTCAAACTTTCATTTACACATGTTTAACGCTGCATATTTAAGCTGAGTTCTTCTCTGAAATTTAAAACACTCTGTTCCACCTTGTGATGTCATGTGGTAATACAGAAAATGCTCCATTGTGTTTTTAAACTCCTTACACCTTCACAAGAATCATTTGGATGATTTCAGCCCTGGAATTTCCAGTGAACAAAAGATTAGTAAAGCTGGTGCCAATTAGTGCCTCCGCTCAATTTCATTTCTCTCCAGCGACTAGGTCAGGAATTGGAATACACTAGATGGTTTGCAAGAACCCTGAAGTGTGAGTCCAGGCACCAGCCAATCAGCGAAGAGCCTATGCCATACTAGAGCCATATATTCTGTGTTGGCAATGATTCCCAAGATCGAGGATTTAAAGCCAGAACAAAGAAAATGTTTGGTAAATTTTATCATACCAATTAGCCCCATTACATACGTCACAACCAAATAGCAGTGATTGGTTAAATTTAAAAAAGTACCTGCCTACCGTCAAGCGAACAAATTGTAATGCAGCAAGGTCAGACGGTGTCCACAAAGTGAAACCGGCTGATGAATCAGGCTAGTAAACAGTAGCTGTTTACTTCAAAACTACCACTTCATGACATCACAATGTGGAACAGATCATTTGGCGATTTAGACAAACTAATAATACAAGGGTCACTCAAACATGTGTGAATGAAACAAAATACAACTCCAGGTATGTTTTTGAGGATGTAACAACACTCTAACATGGCTTAAAGCTCACAAGAGTCAATTTTGCGTAATATAGGACTTTTAACAGTGATCGTTTTTGTTAGCAGGAAATACGGAACAGATCATGTTAGATACATTATTTTTGAGCTGGAGAGGGTTAGTGAATATATGGTACAGAAGACGGAGAGTGAATATATGTTGTCTGTAATGAATGCCTATAGTTTGTTTATGTGGTTGTTTTTAATGTCTCATGATGCACTTTGAGCTTCTTGCCATGTTTTTCCATTGTGGTTTTTAACTACAAATGGCAAATAAACTAACCTAACCATATGACACAGAGGAGGAGCAGTGAATATGGTACAGAGGAAAAACAGGGAATACATGGGCAGAAGGATGCTGCCAGGAAACCAGAGACCTATAAAGGAAGACCAACAAATAGATTTACGGTTGTAGTTATGTATGGTAGCTACCTCGAATGAATTGCCCTCTGGGATCAATACAATTTTCTGAATATGAATCTGACTCTAAAGATGCTGTACCTGATTTTTACCTGAAAAAAAAAAAAGAAAAGACAGAACTAGTTAATTTTAAATGGTTTGCGGTGGTCCTAACTTATCCCTCATTTAGCGTATGGATTCCGAGCATCCTAATTATTCACCACAGTGAGTTTCTAATTGCTTCTCACAGTTTTGTCACGACAGTAAAGCTAACAACAACTAGCATGCAAACTAACACTTCCTGATTACTGGACAAAGACATCAAGAGCTGCTTTTACATTACAGCAATACTGTCTGAAGACATATATGAGGGGAAAAAAATCAGATACAGGGCCTTTAAATACAACATGAAATCGGAGAGGATGCAGAGGGAAGCGAGTGATTTTGTAGCTAACAAGAAAACCACAAGAAATTGTGCAAAAATATCAAAATATCGTGATGCTAAATAGTGGAAGGAAACATGTTTATGCACTACACTTGACATATCAACTGTTTTGATGTTTAAACTATGCATATTTCATATTAACTTTGCATTAGTTTGTGGTTTAAGAAAGAAATATTGTTCCTAATATGTATTTGGTTCTTAAATACATATCTTCAATCAATCATCATTTATTTGTATAGCACTTTTCATACATTTGAAATGTAGCACAAAGTGCTTCACATGCAACAGAAACATTTTTAATACATTAATTAACCCCCCCCCCCCCCCCATACCACAATTTAAACAGAAACATAAAAACTACAAAACTAATAAACATAAAGCTCTTAAAAGTTATAGTAAAAATTAAAAGTGTATAGCTAAGACCAGATGGAGACAAAAATAAAATAAAATAGTAATTTATATTTAATTTAAAACTACCATAATAATAACAATAATAATGATAATTTAAGTTAAAACAGGTAAAAGTTTCAGTTAAAAGCTAAATTAAAAAGATATGTTTTAAGTTTACTTTTAAAAATATGAACACTCGCAGCGGACCTCAGATCCTCAGGCAGACTGTTCCACAGACGGGGGCCGTAAAAGCTAAAAGATGCCTCACCGTGAGTTTTAGTTTGAACTCTTGGGACAGCTAAAAGGAGACTACCTGAGGACCTGAGAGTCCGAGAGGGCTCATATGATAAAAGCAGATCAGATAAATAAATAGGACTAAGACCATTAAGAGCTTTATAAACCAATAAAAGAACTTTAAAATCTATCCTGAAGCTCACAGGGAGCCAGTGCAGAGACTTCAGTACTGGGGTGATGTGCTCTCTCTTCCTGGTCCTCGTCAGCAGTCGTGCTGCAGAGTTTTGGAGGAGCTGCAATGGAGCTGTAGATTTCTTTGGAAGACCAGAAAGGAGAGCATTACAGTAATCAACACGGTTTGTGATAAAAGCATGTATTAAAGTCTCTGCACTGGCTTGAGAAAGAAAAGGTCTGACTCTGGCAATATTTTTTAGATGATAAAAAACCAGATTTAGTGAATGGACCTGATGTGTGGCTCAAAGCTAAGCTCACTGTCAAGAATAACTCCTAAACTTTCACACCCTCTCACAGGGGTTCAGTGAGTAGGTTTGGAGCTTAGCTTTGAGCCTCTCTCTCTGAGCTTCAGGACCAATAATTAAAACCTCAGTTTTGCCCTGGTTGAGCTGGAGGAAGTTTGCTGCCATCCAGGACTTAATATCTAAAATGCAGTTAAAAAGGGTATCGATCGGGCTCAGGTCACCAGGAGACACGGCTATGTAGAGCTGGGTATCATCAGCGTAGCTATGAAAGTTAACACCGTGTCTCCTGATGACCTGTCCTAGTGGCAGCATGTAAAGGTTAAAAAGGGTTGGACCTAAAATTGAGCCTTGGGGAACACCATACTCCATTTTACATTTTGCGGAGGAGTGCTCCCCAAGACTAACATAAAAATCCCTGTTTGTTAAAAATGATTTGAACCAGTTAAAAACAGATCCAGAGAGACCAACTGTATAATGCAATCTATCTAATAAAATACAGTGGTCTACAGTGTCAAATGCTGCCGTGAGATCCAACAGCACCAGGACTGACAGGTTTTTCTTGTCTAAGTTGGATCTTATATCATTATTAAGAATCTTTAATAATGCAGTCTCTGTGCTATGCTGAACTCTAAAACCAGATTGATAAATTTCGAAAATATTGTTAGAAATCATAAAATCACTAACCTGGTTAAAAAAACAATTTTTTTCTAAAATTTTGCTTAAAAACGGCAGATTTGACACAGGTCTGTAATTACTGAGCAGGGAGGAGTCCAAGTTATCCTTTTTAAGCAGAGGTTTGACCATGGCAGTTTTAAGTGCTGTAGGAAAAACCCCTGTCTGCAGCGAAAAATTTACAATGTTAAGAACTTCTTGGGCTAAAAAATTAAAAACTGATTTAAAAAAGCGATGTAGGAATAGGATCTAAAAAACAGGTGGCTGGTTTTAATTGTAAAATAATTTTGTTAAGAGTCGTAGCATCAACCAGGGCAAAACTATCAAGTGTGTTTGATAAAACCAAAGGACTTGTATTACAGACAATGCCTGGTTGGATCTGTTGCAGGTCAGCTCTAATCGACTGAATTTTACTGCTGAAATAGGTCAGAAAATCCTCACAGTTTGGCATGTTGGCTGGCTCATTCCAGTTACAAACAGGGTCGATAACGGAACTAATAGTGGAAAATAGCATCCTAGGATTATTTTTGTTGTTATGTATGAGTTGAGAGAGATATGCTTGTCTTTCACATTTAATGCTATTGTTGTATATTTCTCATATGTTCACGATAAATTTCATAGTTTATTGTAATTTTATTCTTGCGCCATTTTCTTTCTGCTTTCCTACAATTTTGCTTTAGTTGTCTTGTTTTTTCATTTATCCAAGGAGACTTTTTTGTCTTCACATTTTTCACTTTTAGCGGTGCTACAGCATCAAGAGCAGATTTTAGTTTATTATTAAAATATTCTACAATATGATCGCATGAAGATGGTAAAATAGGGGTTGGAGTGTTGTTTAGTATTTCTGTAAAGTTTGTTGTAACTTCAGCAGTAATGCAGCGTTTTCTGACAATGCATTCAGATATGGGGGGTTGCTCAATTGTTATATTAAAAAATACACAGGCATGGTCTGAAAATCCCACGTCCACAACAGAGGCCATGTTTACTGATATTCCATAGGAAATTACTAAATCTAATATACGGCCTCTGTTGTGGGTGGGCTGTGAAACATTTTGTTTAAAATTCATACAGTTTAAAAGGTTTAAAAAACTCTGTTGCTAGTGAGTCTGATTTGATATCAATGTGTAAATTAAAATCACCTACAATTATAATTCTATTGTAATTTGAATGAGCAATGGACAGGAGGTCTGAGAAATCTGCCATGAAAGAGGAGGAATGTTTGGGCGGGCGGTAAATACATATAAAGAGAATGGAGGGGTTTGTTAAGGCCAAGGAGTGATGCTCAAATGAAGGGTATTGATTAAAATAAATATTTTTGAAATTATGTTTGGCACAAAAGATTGTAGCTGTACCACCACCTCTTTTATCAAGGCGAGAGGAATATGAATAGCTATAATTAGGAGGTGTGGTTTCGTTTAGTGTTACGGCTCCATCTGTGCCTGTCCATGTCTCTGTTAAAAACATACAATCAAGAGGCCGATCTACAATCATGTCATTAATTATAAAGGATTTATTTGCCAAAGATCTAACGTTTAAAAGTCCCATATTAAAAGTCAGTGGTGCTTTTTTCATTGTATTAACATGAGCAATTAAAATATTATTCCGATTGATAGATCTAGGTTTCATATGTTTCTTGGTTTGATAAAGGTCTAGTTATATGGACTGGGATATCATGTATACGTGTAAATGATCCGGCTAGCAGAGGTGGTTGATCCAGCTGGCGTTGGTGGTGATAGAGTTAGCAGAGGTGGTGACCCAGCCCGTTCAGTTTGGTGCTGTTCCAATGGCGACAGGGAGGGGGAGCTAATCTGAGACCAGCAGTGCGTTGGAAGGTCTGAGGATGAGGTAGCTGGGCGGGGTGTGGGTGTGTAGGAAGTAAACAGTCATTCACGTGCGGGTACAGTAGCGGGCACACTTACCAGGTTGTGGACAGCGTAGACCATGTAGTTTTTAAGCAGACGGCTTCCGCGTCTATTTAGGTGTAAGCCGTCTACCCTGTAGTGTGAGGGGCGGTCCCAGAACAGATTAAAATTGTCAATGAAGTTGATGAGGTGGGACCTGCAGACGGAGCTGAGCCAGCTGTTTAAATGAAGGGTCCTATCGAGTCGCTCAGCTCCGTGATACAGAGTGGGAATGGGACCAGAGATGAACACGGATATGCCTTGAGTAGTCCACGGTTTCAGAACATTGAAAAGATCCTCAAAATCCCTTTTTGTGTTCTCTAATTTCCCACGTGACATGTCATTTGTCCCCACATGAACTATGATTCTATAGATTGTAGAGGGCATGGATTGGAGCAGGTCAGGAAGTTTGCTCACAATCTGAGACACCGTGGCTCCAGGAAAACAGTGTGTAATGGCATTAAAATAGCGAACATGCCGGATTATTGAATCGCCGATGATAATTGTTTTGGGGGGAAACAGTGGCTGTGGCTGAAGACCAGTTTGTGGGCCTGTGAGGTGTGGATCATCACCGTGTGAAGAGGACCGAGAGGAGACGGGGGCCTCGGAGTGAGGGGCCGGGCCAGGTACCGACCCATCGGCAGTGCACTCCTGCTCCAGAGGCGCCTCCTCGGCCAGGGGCACCGGTCGCGCGCCGCAGCTTGTCGTAACCGTGGATCCACCGGAGGCCTCAGAGGATTCTTAGACAAGATCCCCGGTTGGGCAGCAGCTTGTTGTAGCCGTGGCTCCACCGGTGACCTCATCGCCATCGGCTGTGCCGCGGTTTGGGACCGTGATACCACCGAAGGCGGAGAATGTGCGCGCAGCGAGGAGTGGAGCGGCAGAGCCGGGGCAGCAACCTGAGAACCACCGGATCGTCTCAAAACAGCCTCTTTTAAGATTTTTCGTCTGGATGATGATTTAGCGCGCTGTACGGTTGACTTGTGGGGACTTATGGACTGAGAGGACAGGGAGCAGTGGCCACTGGATATACCGGAGCATCGTCTGTAGTAGCCTGAAGTGGGCTTGCGTCCCTTGAGACTGGGACCTTACTGTGGAGAGCGGGGAAATCGGTTAGAAGAGTCCAGATTGGGGGGTGCCTGAACCGGAGCGGGAGAAGCAGGTGAGTCCGATGTCAGCACAGAGAAACGGTTTGTAAGGTTAAGTCGGAGGGGGATTTCAGATGTACGACTTCTGTCGTTATTACATAATACGGAAGCATCGCGAGGCAACGGGGAATGCGGGGTTGAGCAGGTGGGACGGGACGTGGCCTGTGGGTCCCATACTATTGTGTCCATGAGGGCGCTGTTGAGTAAGGCTATGCGTTTATGTTGTCCTGAGGCAACATCCATTAGTTTAGCGATTATTTCATCCTTTTCCTTAAGTTCAGTGGATAGTCGCTGGATCTGTGCTTCTAGATGTGTGAATGTTTTGCCATCGTTGTCTGGATTTAAGGGGGATTGTCTTTCTCCCGGTGGCATGGCTGACAGTGGTAGGCCACTCGGCCTTAGGATTTCAGAACGAGCCAATAGAGCGTCTTAAGAGTGATAAAATAGCTTGATATGCTATAAAAACTGCTTAGTAATTGTAGTAATCCAATATATGCAAAAGACTCCAGGCAGATTAGTCCAGATGATAGTTTGTAACAGACAGATGTGAGGCCTGCTCAGACAGTTGCAGCCATCTTGTCCTCCCTCTGCAACTTATAATATCATATCGTGAGCCATGTATCATATATTATATCAAATCGTGAGGGACACTGTGATTTTCAGCCCTAGTACAAATTATCACTTTGTCCACCATTTTGTCCTTCATCTCAGACCCATCATCAAATACAGTTTACTGTGTGCCAGAGAAAATGAAATAGTTTAGTGGCATTAGATTTATTGCATGGCCAGTTTAGGTAAGTACCCCATTAAACCCCAACATAGCTCCTAACTTGCCATCTGTACCTTTCTGCTTATATAGTATGTGTGTGTGTGTGTGTGTGTGTGTGCGTGTGTGTGTGTGTGTAAAACTCTATGGTGGCCCCTCTCGTGAGCCCTATGTGAAATCTAGTATGCATGTCCCAAACTACTTCAAACAGAAACATAACCCACGACTCCCAGTTCTCCCTGTGTTCCCAGTACAAGCATCTAAAAGTTTACTAAAGCAAGTCATTAACACAGGGCTTTTCCTGAAGTTTCAAGTTAAAATGGCCACACATGGTAGATCCAAACCAAGCAAACACTATAATACAAGATTTGATCTCCTTCATTCTGGTAAGTGGAGGGACATGGGGGAGTAACCAAAAAGTATAACCATGTAAATACTACACTGGAGGAAGTATTTGTCTTTATAAAAGTACGTATTTGCATCTAAAAGCTAATGCTAACCTAATTTAAGTCTCAAAATAGAACATACAACAACTTTTTTTGTTTTTCTGTGCAAGATTATTCCAATTGTAGGGCTATTTTAACATCAGTAAATCATTTTTATTTCAGTTAGCATTAGCTTCAAGACAAAAATACCTACTTTTATGAACAGAAAAGCTTCCTCCGTGGAATTATAATGTATCCGTAACTTGCTCACTGCTTCCTGGTATCAAGATATTGATTTTTTTTTGCGGCTAATTTCTAATACACAATGAATGAAGCGGGAAGTTCTTTTTGAGAGAACCGGAATTAGCCAGGCAGCTCCATGAAAAGGGTGCATAGTGGCAAATGTTTAAAATAATTACAAAAGAACCTGCAATGCCATTAGATGTCATACACTGAGGACATATAGATAGTCCTTTTGGGTTTATTGCAAACTGGAGTCAGTCGCAGGATCTGGCAACCTTAAGTGAGGATCATTCTGGATTTGGATTGGATAACTGGGGATTGGGGAACCAAAACATGTAAATATAAAACAATACATGATGTTAAACATGGGTTGATGCCTAGACCAGTGCCTACTCAGTCAATTTAACATATTTAATTAGGATAAAATTACTCAAGTATATAGTTTATTAGGCCATAAATTTTACCAGTAAATGTATACTGTATATGTATATTCATAACAGTATTCTTCTGCTATTAGACTTTTTGCATTGGTAAATTGGCACTTGTGTTTCTAATGAATATGACTATGTGTATGAGTAATAATTGGTTTTATAATATGACCAACATGCTGCAAACAAGAGAGCCTTTTTCTTGGTTAAATAAAATGACTGACATTATTGTACTGTACTGTAAGTCATTTGTGCCCACCTCTGTTCCTAATGCTAGTGCTTTCCCTCTTTTTCCATTTGTTGAATGAAGCTGAGTTTTACAGGAGCTGCCATATCGTTTCATGGAGGATACACTGGGACCGGAAATGACCATGTGACCCTGTGAGGAAGAGCGGAAAGTCAAATTCAAGTCATGGAGATAATAAAAGCACACTTGTCTCTTATTTTAGGTCAGTGGTTCCAAACATTTTTCTCCCAGAAACCCGCATTTTACCTGTGTCATTCCTTCATGGGAAGCTATACTGGAAATATACAACAATACAATATAGCTATAAAATATACAATCTATTTTCAGACTCCTTTCTAAGATCCCTTGGGGACCCCTTAAGAATCTTATGCCTAAAACTTTGACAATTTCAGAGTGACAAATGTAACAGATGGTGTCTAGAAAGTGTCTAGAAATGTACTTAATAGTTTTGGATTACTGCATATTTATATAGCTGTAGGCTTTTTTAATAAGAATAAATCAATGTAGTTGTCTTAAAAAATTTAACACAGGATAATACTATGTTAAAATATATATGTCTGAAAAACAGGACATTAACTGATTCAGCCAGGCAGTGCCTATGCTCATGATTTGGCCTACACTCAGAGAGGTATTCTGCCCCCTACTGGCTAATAATTGAATGGCATGCCCCACTGACCTGGCTCTGCACCAAAACCAGATGAGCCCAGACCTTCGTCATAAACAGCATCGGCCTCCTCCTCCTCTTTGAACGCTGTAGGAACAGATACTGGAGTCTTTAATGTATGAACTGCACATTTCAAACACAACAGATATTTTAGACACTGGGAATAAACACACAGATGGTCTATGAAACCACTGGGACATGTGCTTTAATATAGTTGTAAATGCTATTATATACACAGTTGAACAAGGGATTTAAGCATTGCATTGTGCATTATTATATTATTTGGTCTTGTTGTAATGTGGATATTTTAGGAATGTAGTACAAGTAGGCAAAGCAGTTGAAATAGTGATAGTATAGTAAAAGAATCAGTAGCAGTAGTAGTACTGTTGATTTGATTATATTTGCATTACAGAGTCAGTAAAGGTTTAAAGTATTCTACAGTGGTGGTAGGAGTATTTCCTGGAAAAAAGTTGTTATGGTTACCAAGTTTACAAGACGTCGAAAGGTGCATTGTGTAACTTTACCGATGCAGGGTCCGTCAAATGCTTTTCTCCGTGGAGATGTAATTGCTTTGCTTTGTCTGGAATGTTTCACAGTATGGTATTAAACCTTTTCTTTTGTCTCCATCAACACCAAACCAGACCAAGTTACAGGTCAGTTCTGTGGAGAGGCAACCAAGATCACAATGCCTGTTTTTCTAGGTATTTTTGAGCTATAAAACTACCTGTAATAAAAAAAAAGTAAGACAGAGCTGTTTAATGTCATACTGTAGAATATTCCATGCAGAGTAATGACATATCCACAGAAACAAGCGGACCCCCAACATAAAAGTTACATAGTTCACCTTTAAATAACAAATTAACAACATCGCATTTTTATTGTGGTTGTTTCAATGCAACTCTCATAGGTTTTCAAAGGGACTTTACAACTTGGGGAATGAGTTACAATTCAAGCATGACTGTAGCCACAGCTGCCCTGGGGCATGTTAGTTGTTGCTGTAATATACTAGTAAACAAAATTCTTGATCGACTAAAAACACATCATGCCATTTGATTAGTCGACTAAAAAGGGGGTGTGACAAATACTCTTTTAAAACTTTTCTGTATCAATGATCTGACCATGTATTTGACCCAAACTGCACTCGCAACATTACAACTGCAGTTCATGCCAAAAGAACCATTTAAATGGAAAAGTACTAGGAAACAGCAGATTAAACTCATAATTCACTCCCAAATCCCCAAACCATTAGTTCACCCCCATTCTTTCTGCTGTTGTGCATATAAATCCTAATGAAATAATGAATTGACTAACAAAAAGTTTGTTCGACTAAGACATCATCAACCGATTCATCGATTTAAAAATGACATTAAACAGCTCTACCTTATATTTATTAAATTACAAGTGGTTTTATAGCTCAA